ACATAGTATTTGTAACCTGGGGTGGTGTCCGTGGCTTGAGAAACTTAGCATCTGTCAGAATTACGAAATGGGATTCTCGAAGTAACATTAAAACTCGATTTCTTAACCAAAGATAAGTTGCACCTGAAAGTTTCTCTTTTAAGCCCAGAAAAAGAAAAATTATTAACAAAGTTTCTCTTTTTCGCTCCAATATTTTTTGTTGATATGGAGAAAGTAGAGGGGAGAACACGAGTGTGTAAGTGTAACCCAATAGCCATCTCCATTGCTTCAGCAAAACCCTCACCCTCTCACTGTATATGTACTGGGAGAGGCGGAGAAAGTAGCAATGGAGGATGCGGTTACGTTTTGAAGTTGGAGTGAGTGGCTGAGTTTTATGAAAGGCTTCGTTAGGAACGAGAATGGGTCAATTGTTTATGTAATTTACCCATCTTCACGAATTGCTCACTAAACTTTAAAGTGTTTCACAGTGCTCCCTGTACTTTATCCGTTTGTACTTCGCCATCACTCTCAAAAATCCGTTACCTTATTCGTTGACGTGGCTAATGAAAATCTGACATGACAAGTAACGGTTGTTAAAAAAATGACAACTCGGCCAAACCATTGTTTTATTACTCATCCCACTTACACTTTGTCATAATTTACTCATCGAACTTCAAAATGCTTCCTAATGATCACTCATCTTTGAAATATTACACTTCATTCATCATCCACTATATTTTGTTCCCTTCATTCCTTATGTTCGCACGTGATAATTTACAAATATTTTTTAAAAAAAATTGCAATTCTACAAAATTAACTCACCAAAATCACCATAAATGAAGAGTGACTTCAACGGCCTCATCAACTTCTTTAAAACCCAATAAAGCGTTCACAATGATTCTTTTAAAAATATTATTTTTCTAATTCGAACGTTTGTTGTACAAAAAATAACTTTCAATCTGAAGCTGAAACTGTGAAGCATAACTTGTTTGAGGAAACATTTACCATATGTGAAGCGCGATTTCCATACGTCATAAACTTATTTAAAATCTAATAAAGCGTCCCCTAACAAGTTATGCTTCAGAGTTTCAGTTTCAGATTGAAACCTATTTTTTGTCATGGAAGTCACGTTTCATATATGGTGATTTTAGTGAATTACTTTTGTTGAGTTGCAATTTTTTTAACATTTGTAACTTACCTGTTGAATTTTTTTGCGAACATTAGGAATGAATAGAACAAAATATAGCGGATAATGAATGGAGTGCAACATTTCAAATATGAGTGATCATTGGGAAGCATTTTAAAGTTCGATGAGTAAATTGTGTAAGTTGGATGAATAATGAAACAATGGTTAGGCTTAGCTGCCATTTTTTTTAAAAGGTTGTTACTTACCACGTCAGATTTCCGTTAGTCACATCAACAAATAAGGTAACGGATTTTTTAGAGTGGTGGACGGAGACGGATAAAGTTTAGTGAGCACTATGAAGCACTTTAAAGTTTAGTAAGCAGTCCTTGATCATGATATAAGTTGGGTGATTATTGAGACAATTGACTCGAACAAGAATAGTAGAGGCTACTGTTTATTTAGATTTATTTTTTATTATCAATTTTGATAAAATATGGGTGGGCTATTTCACGGTCCGGGTAGTCTAGGGTTGATTTGGGTAGTCCGGCCTAAGTCCAATAGAGTGACGAGTTATGATGGAGAGCCCATTTAAATCATGACTACAATGGGTTTGGACCACATACTTCCAAGCCCATTAAATGTCCAGTACAAATACCCTACTGGCCCGATAGCAAACAACCTGTGCTATATGAAACGATCAATATTAAACTCTAATTTAAACGTTAATATCAATTGTTTAGTACCACTTTCCTGATTTCCACTGCTAAATCGAACTCCGACAATTTTTAAATATTAGAATCGATATAAGACTACAACTTGACAATTCGAGGAAGAACGATACCAAAACAAGTTGAGTTCGATTCTGGTATCGTTTTCCATAAAAAATATTCACCATGAAAACAATGATTGAGGGTTCGTTGCTACACTTATCAGACATTTTTCGCTTGTATTTTTTATATACTAAATTAATGAGTATTGAATATGATCAGTAATTTAACAAAAATGTGTGAATTATTTGTCCGATTTCAATATTTTACCATATTTATCTTTTATCAACCTTCGTTTCTCTTTTTCTTTAAAGTCTACCATGATCGTAGGACTCGATACATATAAGCAACAAAAGTGTCACGGTCCAACTTGTCCTCAATCTAAAAAGTAAAGATACTTAGGGCTTGTTTGGCACCCATTCTTTTGAAGAATGGGTTTTTGAATAGTGATTGATGTAAAGAATGTGTGGTTAAAAAGTAAGAAGAATTTTTGGGTTTATGTGTAATATTATATTATTTGGAGAATGTGTGAATAGAAATAAGTACTGTAGAAAAATGAGAATGAGAATGAGATAAAAAAATGGGTGTCAAACGGGGGCTTAGAATAAATAACAAAAAGGTGTTTATAGTACGGTCGCTGTTGACACACATTTTTTAAAAATATATTCTTTCAAAACTCATTTTGAACCACATATTTTTCAATAAAATAATATTTTATTGAAATATAAATAATTTTTCTTTATTTTTTAACCACGTATTTCTCACCATATCATTATTTAAAATACATTCTATTCTCGATAACATCTATCGAACACAAATTTCATTAAATTAAGTTTATATAGTTTTCATGCACCACCAACTCCGATAATAATTTATAATTATTATTACTTTTTATCTTTTTCATAAATTCACTTTTTCAATAATATGGCAGACACCTGTGTCGAAATTTGTTAGCAACGTTAGTGCGCAAAATGTAAGACTCCACCTTCACATTCACAATTTTATTGCATCAACCAAAATTTCCCGATTGATCTCTCCAACATTTTACCTAGTGTGATTTTAGGTTCTTGATCTATAATTTACTTATATTCGTGAATTTTAATTAATCTGCATGAACAAAACTATCGATGTAGATTTTAAAATCAGATGCACATTTCATTCGAATTGAAAATTACCCGATAACATATAGCACGTGTTTGATAACCGTTAGTTGGAAAAATAAAATTTTGAACAATGATTTTTAGAAAAATGTGTGGTTCGAAAATAGGAAAAAATTTGGATTTACGTACAAAATATTTTAGTGTTGTTTGAGCCCTATTTTTTTCAAGAATACATTCTTCAAAATTTATTTTCAACCACACATTCTCTTATAAAATGATTATACACATATTTCAAAAAAAATCTTTCTTTTTTAACCATACATTCTTCAAAAAAATCGCTATTCCACCCAAAAATGGGAATCAAACAGTGTAATTTGTGATTTAGCCCATATGGTCTGAATTAAAATTTCAAATAAAAGTTAATAATTAATTTTAACCACATATTTTATGGGATTCACAATTTTTCGATCATGTATTTTATCAATTTTTATCAAAATTTACTAAAAATCTGACTTTTAATCTCTATCAAACCGTCATTAAAAATGAAAATGTTAAAAAAAAAAAAAAATCAAATAATAGTTGTGATGCATGGATTGTCAAACACGACATGGGAATCTAGAATACTTAAATATACTCTATTCTTTTCCGTACACGTGTCATGATCTGAGAGCTCCTTACACCAGAGTATGCAAGGACGAACTTATAGGGGGCCCTCAAAGAAACCACAGCTAATAGGATTCTGCCACGTATATGTGATTGTGACCAGTCCACTTGCTTTTGCAAATTATTGTGGGCTCCAATAAAGACAAAACCATTCTGCCGACAGTCTTAAAAACGAACTTTGAAAGTAATATTTGCAATTGAGTCTCTCTAGTTTTGGAAAATGAACAGAGTAGCTTTTAGCTTTTGAAAATTGCAATTTCATCCTAGATATATGTATAGTGTCTAGATGAACCTTGAAAGATTTTTGTATTTGATTTGTTATTACTCTCATTGGGCTAGACTTTGACTAATGAGAGATTGCATTAAAGAAAATTGGATAGAAATCGATTCATATAAGAATATTGGTCGAGTTCCTATTTGTTACTGATCGTAAACGAATGATTATTTACTACTAGTTAAGGAGACATATGGTACATATTCTTAAAAAGTATTAATACGTGTACAAATTGATTTTATTGTTCTTAAACTTTGAAGATATGATCATCGAGTAGTGGTTCGATTTTTATCGATTTTAAAAGATCAAGATTAGACCTACCTTTGTATGCTTCTTACTATGTGTAAAGTTAATAATATGAATGTGGTCAAAAAGTGAGCTAAATCGAGCAAAAGAAAGATCAACTAAAGCTAATCGCCATCACTACATCATCAATCACGAAAATGAGGATATGGGACCCCCAAATTGGATGCCACTATAATCATGATCACACCCCAATAAAGACGCAAATCACAACTTACTAGACCACGATAAAATCTAAAACAAACAAGTCTTACTTTCAAACATATATATATATATAGGCTCTGTTTGTTTCTGATTTTGAAATCAATTCTCATTTTCAACCACACATTCTTCAATAAAATAATATTTTCCATCACATCAATCATTTTTTCTTCTTTTTCAACCACACATTTCCCATCATATCACTATTCAAAATCAATTGTTCCCCCAAAAATCCCTACCAAACAGGCTCATATATTTACAACTGTGTTCCCTTACATTAGATTCATATCTTAGGAGCTAAGACAACATGACACTTACAATTCTCTCAATGGAAATTGAGTGCATAAAATATTATAGTCAAATGTTAGCTAGGTATCAACATTGTTTATTTGACCAATAACTTGTATGGTTTAGGTAGATTTATCAACCTTGGAGCTTTTGCACATTGTGAAATCATACATGTACCAACTACAATAAAAAATATTGTGTGGGTAGAGTTGGATTGAAAAGAGTACAAATGAAAATGACTTCCACATAATGGGTAAAAATGTTAACAATCATGCATGGGGTACATCGTGATTTACATCATTAGTTACATTTTATCACGTGACGTTACACCATTCGACAGTTTAAAAAAATAGTTTTTTCATCCACTTATTTGTTGACGATGTGAAGAAAAGAGCGTAAAAGTGGTATAATCCAAATTTTAATAAAGAACAAAGAAAGTGGCCAAAATAGAATATTTATAACATAAAAGTCAAGATTTTTTTTCATCAATAGTGTCTGTGTCTCCTATCACATTTATCGATCCAATTATTCTTCTTGAACTCTCCTTAATCCATCCTTATTTTTCTTCATCACCCCTTGATTATAATCCTAATCAAGACTAGATTTAGCCCTTAAAAATTCCTCGATCATTTTACGACGGATTTTCCCATATCGGTTGCCTTTTACGCACCGTTCAAAGTCGAATTTAGTGTAGTGTTTTGGCATGTTAAATGCTGAAAGAGCCATAGCTAGCAGCACTCAACCCGATGAAGATGAAAATATTCGAGACATCCATGCACTAACCCCGCCACGGCCGCCCTCCGCCACCCGAGCAGGCCGCCGCGGCCGAGAGGCTTGGGAAACAAGCAGCCATAGATCATCGTCTTTATCCATGGCTAGCAATGATGGTGCATCAACTGAAAATTTTACAAGTATCAGTAGAGAATTTAACGCTCTTGTTCTTGCAGGATCTACAATAGCCAATAATGGGACAGAAAATGGTGAAAATAGCCATAGTTTAAACAATTTGCTAAGGATTGGGGAGGAGGAAATGGCTGAAGAAACCAACCCTTTGGCTATTGTGCCTGATAATAATCCATTTCAGCCCAGATCACCGCCACGTCGTGGCGGTGATGTTGGTGCCGCCGTCAATGAAGGTGTCTCTGTACAGAGAGTGAAGAAAGAAGAGGTGGATGCAAAGATAAATGCATGGCAGAATGCTAAGATTGCCAAGATTAATAATAGGTTTAAGAGGGAGGACGCTGTAATTGGTGGCTTGGAGAGTGAGCAGGTCCAAAAGGCCACCTCGTGGATGAAGAAAGTCGAGGTAAGTGACAAAATTTACCAATAATTCATGTATTGTGTTTAAAGTATGATTTTCTTTGTTGAGTCTAACGTAGCAAATTAGAGATCGACGATCAAACAATTCCAGTCATGGTCCTCGCGGATCAGATCAGATCATCCTATTTTAGTGACGGGATTCATCACTATACTTTAGTGTAAAAATAGAACTGTAACTGATACTAATGTTCAAAAAATTAGTAAAAGATCGATTATAGTAAAACATTCTTAGGTGAATTTTATTTGTAACCTTCGAAGGTACTCACATTAGTCATATAGGTGAACCTTTTAAGGAGGCTTTTTAATTGTGTTTAACATATGATTACTTCGAAACCTAGGCAAATCATTAATGTTATATACTTTCACGAACATTTATAATACGCAACATTAGATATTACTATAGATAAACGTAAATTAAAGATGCATGGCATAAGTCTTGTAACGGTTCTTGGTAGATGGACGAGTGTTGTATTGTACATAGTGCGATTAACGCACGAAACTAGTTAAGTTTAATTTGAATCAATTCATATACACTCGAAGTGTAATTGTGAATTTATTTATTTATTATTTTATTTTTTTTTGAAGCAATTTATATGCACTCAAAGTGGCCTAGATGATATCGGAGATTATTAAGAAAGAAAAAGAAATTTAAAATGTAGACTATTGTACTCTCAAGTACTTGTATATAGTAAATTGTTGATCCATTTTGTAGAGGAAGCTCGAGGAGAAAAGAGCAAAAGCCTTGGAAAAGATGCAAAATGATATAGCCAAAGCACGAAAAAAGGCCGAGGAAAGGAAGGCATCAGCTGAGGCCAAGAGAGGAACAAAGTTGGCTAGGGTTCTTGAGGTAGCCCACTTGATGAGAGCCATCGGAAGACCTCCGGCCAAGCGTTCATTTTTCTAAGCACGATACTTTTACGTGTGCACGTGTGTATTTATGTATATGGGATGTGAAATCGACAATTTTACGTGTGATTACTAGAATAAGGTGGAGATAGTCGAGGATAACCTTGAAGAAGATATTTGTGTAGTAAACGAGAACGTAATGTTGTCTGTCTGCTCTAAATTTTAGCTTCATATTTGCTTTCGCATTGACAACTTTTTGAAAATCAATGCAGAACGTCTAGCTTGTTGCTAGTTCACAACTTTATCAAATAAGGAACATGTTCTTGTCACTGATTATGTTTATTTCAACTCTTTGCATATGTTTTCTTTGAAGTACATCTTGAATTCCATTTACTTGGCTAGACTTATTGTACATATTTCGCTATTATATATAGAACGCTTGTTCGACCAAAATCTCATGTTTGTGCCGAAAATCGTGACGCTCTGACTCTTTAAAGTGACTTGCATTGACTAGACGTGTAGTAGATATTAGATAATTAGTTTACGAGGATGTTGAGTTATTTTAGCTTTGATATTTTGTGAAGTAGTATCAGAGTACGAGATAAATCTCTAGTTACGATTGCATGAAGGTGGTAAGACAGTGATGGCCAAGATATATTACTACTGCTTTCAACAGAAATGCACCAGAATACTCACAATGGGGTGGGGCCCACCGTGTATTTTTTTAAAAATACGGGCCCCACATTGTGTGAGCGTTCTGTGGAATTTCTGGTGCATTTGCTTCTGTATATGAAGCAGTAAACGCGTAATAAAATTGTCGATATATCCTGATTCTGCATACCAAAATGTCAATGACATTTTCTTGATCTCTACTTTTTATCCGACCAAACCTTCTTTTTAGTTAAGAGGCAGCTCATGTAGGTATACATCCTATGGACATGTTTGGTGACTTGTACCCAACAATAAATCGATGAAGCGAGGCTTTTAAGTGTGACTAGAATCTTTTACACATTTGGATGATCGACGTTGTCCATACCATCATGTCAAATTGACACATTCGATAAGATGAATTAAATAGCATTAGATAGTAACTCTCAACTTTACAGACGTGTCCAGTACTGCTGCACTAAATACTTTCCAAACCAACGCATCCTGTAAAGTTGATGGCATCGAATGAGCATCAATATTCATGGCAGAGTTTCATCATCATTCCTTGCAAAGTAAAATTAATTATTCCTCGGAAATTAAAATATTATCCCGTAGCATCTCATCTCCATAAAGCTTCAAAAATAATGAGCAATTAGATCTCATGTCCTTATCCATCAGGAACCCAAATCAAACTTTTGGGATTTGAAATCCACTAAAGCCATGTTCCAATTCCTTTTCGATAATATGATAATAGAGACCGTCTTTCAAGAATGGAATAAATCTAACGAAATAAAAACAATATCACCTATCCTTTAAATGAAATTATTCCAAGAAAAATAGCAACTAATATATACCATACTTAAGAAAACAATATAGAAAAGAAAAAACCGAAAACGAACAGATTCAACACACAAATGTATAGTAGTTCACCTATGTCCTATCTGTCGCAGCACTTTTTTCGCTATAACGTTAAACAAGAGTACCAAGAACAACCCACGACCGACCCTTCATAGACTACGTATATTAGGTAGATCTGCAGTCGAGGGGAGTATGATCAATCTCCCCAGAGTTCAACACAACATAGCACAAGATGAAATAAAAATTAGATTGCCATTCAAGAAAGACAGAAATACCAAAACCAATATCACCTTATCCAAGAAATGAAAATATTTCAAGTTACAAAATCCAAGACTAAGTATAGCATTATCGTCGTCGTCTTCTATTTTCCCACTAACAATATGGAAGCACCAAATTGACATGGATTACAAAACCCTATTAATAAGAAGTGTTTTGATAGCATTGAATGATTATGCTAATCCAACAAGCGAAACAAAAAGGAATATAGACCTAAAATCAGTAAAAATATCAGTAATCGGAATTATAATTGCCTACACTGGACAATAGTTAACCCAGTAACCCAGTCCTTTCGCCTAGGTTTAACTAGTAAACCAAAATAGTGAAAGATCAGTGTTTTCTTCAAAAATTTTGGACCATCTTACCAAGTCAAGTTGCCTCCTTTCCGAAGCTTGTTCCTGAAAAAAATCCAAAAACTAAATCCCGGTCTTATTCATTGAAACCTTATGTTTTCGGAATCTGAACCTACTTAAAGTCTTGATAAAAGTAATTTTGATTTTACTGAGCCATCAGCTGATCACGCTTCATCTGCTCGAGCAATGCACCCAAAGCAGTAGATTGATCGATATGTTCAATCTGTGAATTCGAATTAGCATTCTCACCAGTAGATGTAACCGAACCAGCTGTGCAAAAGACAGGAGGTGGAGATTTTTCCTTTGTTTCCTGTGGAGATTCTTTAACGAGTGACTGAACCCATGATAAATCAGGCTCCTCAGCACTGTTCAGAGTTTCGAATGATGATGATCTCTTTAGCTTTCCAAACTCATCTGCATTGACTGCCCAGTCAGGCTTCCCATTAGAGGATCCCCAGCTTGACCATGCATCTTCGGAAGAGGCAACAGAAGCCATAGCATTGGAGCCAAGATCACGTGAGCTGAGACTTCGAAACTGTTTCTGGTGCTTCTCACATTGAGCTAACATTGACACCCGAGAACTCATTGATGACATATGCTCCGTACTGCGTGGTGACATCCTCCCTGAAGACGGAACCCCAAAAGAGGCTTGCAATAGGGCGTGATCTATGTTTCTTGGTGAAAAAGGCGTGTCAACTGGAGATAGGATGTTCTGTTGCTGCTGCTGGAATTGATTAAGAAGTGCTGATTTATGTGTTGGGGAGAAAACGGATGGATCTGTATATAGGGGAGACGAGTTATCCACAGAAAAAGCATCCTCAAGATTCGAAGGGATTAAGGTTTTGGATCGAGCAGAATGGTTCAACGAATTGGTATTAATACTTGGATGGGATAAGCGGGATAGTTCATTCAAGAACTGCTTCTGTTGGACATCAAAATCTTGCAACAAACTCAAGTCTTCAGGGGGGAAATCTCTAGCATTCAGTGATGTTCGCAAGCGACTGGACTGGAGGTTGCTTCCAGGTAAATGCAGTGACGGAACATTTTGTGGGGGCCAACCCATATTTGACATGCCATTTGTAGATGGTGACATAGGCGGAGTAAATGGAGACGAAGGAGAACCCGGTAAAAGGCTCATTGCTGCAGCAAAATCCATGGCATTAGCAGCAGAGGAAGTTGAGCGAGGAGAAAGAACAGCTGAACCTGTCGAGACATACAAGGGTCGGAGTTCCTCTTGCATGTGGGCAAAGAAACAGACTCTGCGGTTGCAACTCATACCATCTTTGCAAAGCCGAGTCCGATATTGAGCCGGGTGAAGCCAGCACTCGAAGACCCCGTGAGCATATTCACACATGTCCCCTCTTCTGCAAGCCCCCTTGCGAAAATCAGGACAAGGTACACAGCTGTAGTGGTATTTCCTAGGATCCCTTCTTCGAGCATTTTCGCCCGGGTGAACAAACGGGCACTCAGTCCAATCGTGTGAGTAGGCACGAGAGCAAGGCCGGACCTTAAATGAAAACATTCTGAACTCATCTGTAGAATAGATGCTATTCTTGATGTCGGGCAAAGATGGATCAATGGGGTACTCTTTCTTCTCCGATGCAAACTTTGCGCTCTTAGGAGAAGCCACCAACTCCGAAGGAGATGACGGGGATCCAATATGAGCAGATGGTGAAAGAGGTGGAGAATCAGAATTTGGAACAGTTGTTGACACTCTAAGATTGAGTTCTTCAAATGAGGCGTCGTTTCTGAGAATCATTTCAAGAGAAATTCTCATTTCTTGAAACTTTGGAGGGACATTAATAACATCAACAGGACAACAACCATTTGCATCCGCCAGATTAGGATCTGCACCAGCTGCCAAAAGTAGTTTCACAACATCAACGCCTTTAACTGATCCACCAGATGCAGCACAGTGAAGAGCAGTGCTCTTGTCAACACCAGATGATCTATTCACATCAATTTCAGGTGAAGAGATAATCAGTTTCAGTACATCAAGGCTACCATAAGTCGCGGCCACCATCAAAGGAGTTCTTTGATGAAAAACCATTTGCTTCGAGCCCTTTTGACGTCCATACCACAGTCCAACCTCATCGACACTGGACGGCTCACGACCAACCAATCGTTTAAAGCCCTCTATATCATTGTTCGCTGCAAGTTCAAGCAAACTGGCCAAAGCATCTTCAGTTTCAACATTCAAAGGATTAACATTCATGATTATAGTTCCGGTACTGACAAAGTGATTGGGAGATGATAAAGGAATGGATTTCTTCTATGTTCAAATGGCTCCAACACACAGCAAATGCTTTTATTTCTGAAATCCAACTGGCAAAGAATTCTAGATATTAGAATCAAAACTGAAGGAATCCGTAATCTCGCAACAAATAAATCAACATAATTGGCAAAAGCTCTGCAAAGAATAAAATTCAACTGCCAACAGGAATAGCAATTAATTGATAACCAAGAGCTATCAATATGTGGGGTAAGAGAGGGGGGCTACAAAATAAATGTAAGGTTGGAACTTTATTAAAATAAGAAATTATGGCAAATAAAAGTAGATAGCATCAAGGAAAAAAATTTATCATTTCTAGATTTAGTAAATTTAGAGATAGATTTGGATAGAGAGTGAATCACTAGCTAAATTTGCATTGCAAATATTAGGAGAAGTGTCCAACTCATCGAAATGCTAAACAAAAATAAAAAGTTAGGGTCTATACCTCTCACTATAACCATAGACAGTGCAATAATCAAAATAGAAATAGAGCTACATACATTAGTAATCAGATTTATGGAAGTATCAATTGAGAAATAGCTACTAAGAATAATTTGTTCAAACATGAAAAAGAATGAAGAAATACAAAGAAAAGAAAAAAAAAATCAGCAGTAAAAACAAAATCAACAACACAAATTTCCACTTTCATCTACCTCAACCCTAGAAAAATAAATAGGAGTAATGAAGATCAAATAGAAATTGAAAGAACCCTTAAACTCATAAACTCTAACTCGTACATAATAAAGTTATTTGTATGCCTATATACAGAGAGAGAGAGAGAGAGAGAGAGAGAGAGATATATATAGTACATGGAAGTAAAAATGGCAACATTTCTTACCGGTTAACAGTAATATGAAGAAGAGAAGAGCAAGACCAGCTGCTGCAACAGCAACTTAATCAAATATAAATATAAATATATATATATATTCTTGAATATGTGAAAAACAGATTTTACAGCAAGTTGTGTAATTGTATTTACAGATCTAGAGAGAGAAAGCTGTAGTAATAACAAGAGGAACTTCTTCCTCTCTCTTTTGTCTTCGCCATTTCCTATGTTTTTACTCTCTTCTTGTTTCTCTCTCTTCTTTTTCTTCGACTGATCAATGCTAAATGTGATAAAATTAATTAAATATTCGAGAAGAAAACGGAGGTGACCATACTTTTGGGTAAGATTTCATTTTAGTCACTCAACCTTTTTTTGTTCCAAACTTACCATTGAAATTTCAATTTCATTCCAGTTTGGACACTGGATTGAACCTGAACGAAACACAAAATATGCCGAGGAAATACAAGTAAACAAGAGATGATGAAATCGGTTTGTAGATTATTTTGAATCAAATTGTTTGAGTCGTAAAGAGAAATATGGTTAGATAAATTATAACATTTACAAACCCATACAAAGGTTACTAGTAGTGGTAGAGACAGCACCTGGCGAGCCATGACGATCGTCGTTGCTGGTTCAGCCGCAATTTTTTTCCCCTATATTGAGTGGTCGCGCAACAGTCGTTATTCATTCTAGTTCAAACGAGTTCATTGATCCGCCATTGACTATAAGGATTTTTTATTTTGTCTATCGAGATTAAAGACTCGACTATAAGTTACTAGCAACGTGGGGAAAAAAATAGTTGTGCTTTTGAAATGTAATTTTTAATAGAGAGAGAAAAGGTTATTGTACAAATCGACGAGCCACAGTTTGGGGAAAAAATTGAGTGACTATAATGAAATTTTGTTCAAAGTTGGGTGACTAGGGAAAAAATTGTTTTGTTGAAACAAACGCCTATCCAATCCTAACAATTTTATATGCACGCCCACACTACACTTTTTATCGGTCATTTTATCTCCTGCTTCTTGTTATTTTATATTGTACCGTGTCAGCCATTAAATATACTGAAACTAAACATTAAATTTTCTTTTCTTTTATTTTCCTGTCATCACTATTCAAATTCAACCCATTACTACTTTTTAAAACGTAGAGTACCATTATGGAGCCTGGAGGTGGGTCCCTACAGCTTCATCGTCGCACACATGGCATTATTTGGTTGTTTTATTAGCTTAAATCATAAAAAATAAATTTTAGAATTTAAGTGACCGGGAATAATGGGTAGTACGGGCCACAGTAGAAGTGGTACTTGGTGAAGGTTTCACCAAATGGCTCAATCTCAACCGTGTAAATACCTACACTATATAACAATGTCTTCTGAATATATAAGCCCGTTTTCATGAGAGACAATAAAATGAGTAGTTGAAAAATTGTGAAACTCATAAAATATATAATTAAAATTAATTATCGACTTTAACTTCAGATTAAAATCTAAATTTTAATCGGTCTACGCCCCCGAGGGAATCCCTTTAAGTCTTCGAGTGGGCCGAACATAAACAAAACAATATCAGGGTTTTGTACAACAATCTAGGATACAATACTTAGGTCTAAGAAAATTCAAAGTTCTGCTAAAAATCATCTAGACGAAGCGCTTAAAGAGGGGTAACATATGATGAGCAGCCAACACAGTGGTGCTTCGACCTCACAGAAGACGAACCCTCTTGAACAAATTTCTTTGACTTACACACCATACTCTGAAGCACTCAAATATTCGCCGCGTTCCTCGAAGTACTCTATTAAACGCTTCAAGAATTTATCACTACTAACTGTGTCGGTGTCGCAGACGATACAACATTGTCTCCTTGCTCGTGTTACAGCAACATTCATTCTCCTGTGATCGCTTAAAAATCCCACCTGAATTCAAAATCAATTAATATTTACTACAATCATTTTCCAATCACAGGTTAACCTCATCTAAAGGATAAATTATTTATTTAAATTATACTTATGTTACACAATTTGACCATCTTGACAGAAATGTCTCATTAGCAATACCTCTTTCTTTGAGTTCGACCGCACCATTGAAATGATAATTGCTTCCTTCTCTCGGCCTTGGAAGCCATCGACTGTTGAGATTTCCATATCTTTTAGCTTGTTTTCATTGCTTCTCAACATCTTCAGTAACACAACCTACAACCGAAGTTTCAACATAGAATTCAACAAATTTGCATTAATTTAAATCCTCGACCAACTAGTGGAGTTCTAAATTTTTGTCAATGTAACAATACCTGTGCTGCGTAAGGTGTTATGATACCTATATCGGAAGCATTGACTCCACTGTCCACAAGTCTCTTAGCATGTGAAATAGCGACCGCCGCTTCACCCTCATTCAATGTGCTATCTTCCTCATCTTTCTTCTCGTCCATGTCACAACTGAAACAGAATGGTAGAAACTATAAGTGCCTGTTCCGTACGAAGTATGAACAAGATTTTGACCACGTTTGGCTAAGTTTAAAATCCAATTAAAATTGAAAATATAACCGTTATTGGGTCTCACTCGTCTAATAAAAATCAACAATAACGGCTAATTTTTTAATTTTAATCCGATTTTAATCTATACCGAACACGCCCTTTAACTTGTTTTCCTTTGTTAATAATATTCAGTACTATTTGGTCCCCCCAAACAAACATTGCAATAACAATAAGAACATAACCGTGAACCATTTCACTGACCTGTTTACATTAGCATCTAATATTCACCATTAGTGTCTAATATTCACCTGCTATGGTAATGACATCCATTCCAACTTGTATTCAGGACATATTTGAACTTATATGAAATTTGAAATAAACAACAATAAGATGTCATGATTATGTTTTTCGAATTTGCTGTCCCCAAATTTCAAACTTTCTTGAATTTTACATCCATGGGTAAATTATATTTAAAATATAAGTGCAGTTGAAAGCCAACAAATTTGTTATATCTTTGGCATTGGACTGAAGCAAGAAACTATCTCAAGTGACGTAAAAAATCCAGACTACAGAAAACAAATGGCATGGTAACAAGCGTACCCAGCTGTGTCAATGAGAAGAAGTGTTGGCTCTGTTGAAGATGTCTTCTTTACATCCTCAATGTCATATAACGCATGAGCGGCAACACTTGAATGGGCTTTAATCTAACCACATGCACAAAATAGATACGGATACATGTCATGCTTATATCTGTCAATACTATTAAGTCATTACTATGAGGAAGATGGCGATGAAGAGGAGAAGAATTAATCTTTAAACAAGATCTGAGCATTTTTGAATACTTATTCAGCGAGTTCATGCATGCAGTGCTACAGATATGAGCATGGCTAGTGAACATGATATCGTGGAATAAGAAAAAGATACTATAGTTCAAATATATCTGAGCACCTTACTGTCATAGAGTTCATCAGACGACCAGTTCATGATAAGCTCATGCATGCGGTACTGAACAGTAAGCATAGACGTGACTTCATCTCCATACAAGTCCGTGAGGCGTTCAAAGAGGGTTTTTCCTAATCCTTTCTTCTCAGCTTCAACACTTTGAATAGTTGGAGGAAGCTGGAGGTGATCGCCGACTAGTATACACCTTGGGCCCTACAATAACAAATTAGATAGTTTAGCTGTAGTTTCAAAAAATAAAAGAATACTTGAGCGCAGTACAAGCCGTTTTTAGGTGTCAGGGAGGTAGCCCAGCTGCCCTGTTATTTTTATGCCTCTATATGTGTGTGTTTTGAAGAAATAGAGTACCTTGTGCAATTATCATTAGCACCTTTTAGTCTATAATAATTACCTTCAATAAAGCAATCCAGCAGACTATTTCAAGTGCCTGGGCAGCTTCATCAATAATAACCAAATCAAACGAAAAGCCTTCCAATTTCTTAGACAATGCACCTGTCAACGTTGTCAACACCACATCTGCATTCTTAATCACATCCGTCACAGCCAGCTGCTGCCTTTTACGCTCTTCTTTGGAAAGAGTCTTAAGCTCTCTCCTAATCTCTCTCTTAGTACTTCTGTCTTTCGCTTTTAACAGTTTCCCATTCAATGCCTGTAGATATCCATCAAAGAAACAACAAAATCATCAAATTATACTTAAATGAACACCAGGGTTAATTGTACTTTGTTAACTATGAAAATTCATAGTGGAGATCAAGGATACTTTGGTACTCATCAATTTCTTATCTGAGGAACCGAACATGGTATATATCCAGTGAAGATTACAAACCTTTTATATAATCTCATCTGATCTCTCTCTTATTTTAAACTTTAAAGTTGATTTAAACTACCAAAAAATCTTTTGAAATTCAAAACCATCATGGTCAAGAAAAGCATAAAACCTTGTTTAAAGTGGTCATAGGTTTCAGAGAATAATTTTTAAAAACCCTATAAGCGTGAATCACTTCAAGAGCAAAGGCCGGTGAATGTGTCAAAAGCTAGTATGGAACCATTTTATTGCTTATTAAATATTAATAAACAATTATCAAGTTTATAACATGTCAGATAATAACACTAAACCCTAAACTCATTAATAAAAAATGATAACAAGGCAAATAATAAGTGAATATTAACAATAATCATCAAGACAGGCAAAAACAATCCAATCCTATGAAGAAAAAAGGGGGTGAAATAACATTTCACTTCAGGAGGTTATAGATTTTCTTTATTTCCGTACCTTCATCTCCTTGCGGATGTCATTTGCAAGAGCACTATTATCCCCACGTAAAACCTACAGGTAGTCAAGCAAATTATAAGTAGAACTTTTTAAATTTCGAAGAAGTTCCACTATCAACAATGAGTTGTAATCATTGAGGATTACAGTGCAGTCGAGTATCAAAAGAGGGTATGCCTTACTGGGCATATCCATCCTTACTGTCATCATCATTAAAGACTGTGAGTTCAAATAAAACAATTCACAGCAGTCTTAAAGAAAGAAAATACTTGAATATATGCCCATACTGACTTAAGTATGACTGCTAACAACTTGAGAACAAGAAAAGTGGAATTCATGATTATAATAAAGTAATATAAATAAATAGCTACCAGCATGTTTGGCTAAGCTTTAAAAATTTACTTGTCAGTGTACTTTTAATTAAATGAATAAGTTTTAAAATAACAAAAAACTTATAGGTCAAAATTGGGAATAAGTAGGTTACTCTTTTTTTTTGTGAACACCCAGTAGGAGACTTATTTTGAGTGTAATGTAAGATTCAGTGTCAAAATAATCATCTTTTTCAATTAGAAGCAAGAAAAAAGTAACATATTTTAACACATTTGGAAACAAAAAGTTACTTGAGAGCAATTACTTATTTTAAGCTTAGCCAAAGTTGCTCTATTAGGACGAGAGAGAGAGAGAGGCAGGTACAGGGAAAACGTAGGAAGGCGTAACCTGTGCATCAAGAGCGCTGTCAAGTACTTGAGGAAGTAAACGTGCAGGATGTCCCACTCTTACCAGCTTTACTCTGTTGATAAATGGCAATAAAAGTTGAGTAATTTGGTTCTTGCTAAATAATGTAACGAAATAACATAACAGGAAACCCATTCTGTGTAATCCCAAATTAGAAGTTCATAGAGGCACAAGAAAATAAGCTTCGCGAGTTCAATCTTACAATCTAGTTTAAGATCTATATTTGCTGCCTTTATAGGACAACCTATTTACAAGTCATTAACTAGAACAGAAATACAGATAATTTGAACATATCGCCTAGCATATATAAAGGGAGCCTAACACAAAATTCAACTAATGGTTACCTAGAAATAGATAATTTTGGTTCTATATGCATGTGTCTCACCCTAATTCTTGCCAAAACATGGGAACAATGGAGCTCAACTAGAAGAAATAGAAGCACTGATATTTCAGATAACTCTCCGTCCTTTATATGAATCTTCTTCAAGAGTTCATGAATATCAACTTGGAATTTTTTTTTAGCCTGTAACTTGAAGAATTGCTATACCTATAAGGCACGAGTCTCTCAACGATGTTATCTACCGCAATATTTGAAGCTGCACAAGCCAGAACTTTCGATCCACGTTTTACTTCTTGCAAGATAATTTCTACCACAGTTGTAGTCTTTCCAGTTCCAGGAGGTCCATGCAGCAAAAAGAGGTCCTTGGATGACAGGGCCTTTGAAATGGCATCTTTCTTAGGAAAAGAAAATTACGATTTAGTGTTGTTAAACAATAAGGATATAAATGCAATCTAGCAAAGAAAAATGCAGGAGAAGGTAGATAACTGTAAGACTATGATGTATGCAAGCAAAATGGAAAAACCAAAGATTTAGTCTTAGAATTCATAATATACCCATCTAAGTCAATTATTCCAGAAGTACGTAACTCAGCCTGTAAGAGAAGTTTGAAGGACAGCATTCCAATATGAAACTAGGAATACCATAAGGTGAAATCACTTTTTTAACCTTACATGATTCACTAAAAAAGGTATCCCATCTAGGGCCAGAAAAGAGTATAGCACTGAAACAACGCCTGCTCATTTCATGTCAAGAGTTTTTGCAAATTACAGGTCTGCTATAGGTTTTTATTTTTTTCAATTTCTGCTAGACTTTAATTGGAAAAGATAAATACATTAAACTTTCGTCAGCAGGCTGTTAGTATCATAGGAAGAAGTATCCCACAAGCAAATATTACAGCAGAAAAATGTATGCAACATACAAAGCGAGAACTCATTCATGCTCAGAAAAATGTTGAGAGGTTACTCAGGAAAAAGATATTATGAAAGATGATGTTTGAGAGACCTGTGAATGATCTAGGTTGGAATTCAAAGGGGTGAACTTGATATCCTTTTTGGACACTGTCGGCTTTCTCTCTCCAAACAAGACAGGAACAAGGTCAGCAGCAGGACCCTTCTGCACACCTTTACTTAACTCTATCAAAGTATCTTTCATCCGACGATATGTCACCTACAAATCATTTACTTCTGGAAATATTCATTGCCTTTCACCTATTGAAACTTATTCATACTGCATTTGCAGGATCCAGAGGTCCTCATATATACTTTATTTAGATTGAAGCTAAGATTTAATGTACCTCATTTGCCACTTTCTCAAGGCGTAATGGAATATTCAAACCCTCTTCTGGGACATCATCAAAAGCAACAGTAATAGACGAGTCCTGCTCCATATAAAACATTGTTGTATTTCAAATTAATTATACATGAAATGCAATTAAACAGAATCCATTTCATGAAGAACATTCAAAAATTTCAAAGCCAAAATACCTTTATTCGATAAACAATACCCTGTCCAAGGGGAGGGGACCCCAAATCAGCCTTATTTGGTTTTAGAACCACGACGTCATGATTTCCAAACTGGACGGAAGAAAACATTATTCAACCCCAAGAATAGTAGCAAGAAACAAGGGGAAAAAAATAAAAATCAATTACTAACTTTAAAAAGGAAAGAAGTATTCAACTCCCTATCACTAAACAAAATATTTTCACAGATTTCACCTTCAAGCTAATATTTATCTTAAAAGATAAACTTTATTGCTTAAAATTTGAACAAAATATATATGGAGATTTAAATATGAGAATGCAACAATCCTAAATATCCTCTTTGTAATACTTTGCAAACTCGTATAACTTAAATAAGAAAACAGATTATCAGATTCATCTGAACTCATGCTATACAGTGCTGAACTACAACAAGAAGAAGTTCCTTTACGCTGTACTATGATAAACAACTATTTTGCCGCTGTCTAATATAGATATATATCTCGAGAAAATTCCTGAGTAGGTCACTATGCATAAATATTAAGCACGAACTCATGTTCTTTTCTTCCAGGTCGAAACAAATGATAACTATATACTTCAGGAAAGCACACTACCTTGAAAAATACAACATTATATGGATAGTTTACCTTGTGAGGAGGAAGCACGTCCCCTTTATTAGATTGAAACTCCAGAAGAGACTTGCCCATCAACCCTACCTACACTCGAAAGGCCACATTCACAAAACACTGCCAGATATTCTATCCGAATTATAATTACCAAAACAATAGTATATTGAGAAGTAAAATTTACTACCTGAGCATCTACACACTTCAAATTAAGAATAGTGGATCCCTTCTTTTGAGCAGTATCCAAACTCCTCCCCGAGCTCATTGAAGCCGATATCTCAGCTTCCTAAACAATAAACGTCGATCATACGTCTAATTATTCTAAACAACAAGGAAACCAGATTTTTGAACTGTTTTACATATTTTAATTTTTTTTTTAATTTGACAGTTAATGTTAATAAAAATTGTATTCTCAAAAAATTAAAATAAAATAAATGTCCATTTCTTACGTTAAGAAGCAAAATTAAACAGGAAAGAAAATTGAAAAGAAGGGTAGTTTCCATTTACGTGAATCAGAAAATAATATTCAAATACAGTAAAAATCTGTTAATGTGTATACATAATAATTACATATATAGATACATAAATAGAGTGCGTGAATTTACTTTTTCCATGTCGATTAAAGGAGCCATAATGGAGACGAATTGTTCTAGGGTTATTGGATTTGAAGATTGCTTATTTTTGCGCTTTCCTATGTCCTTCTCCATGGCTGCCGCTGCTCAACTCTTCGCACTGTGCTTGTGTTTGTATCTGTTTGTTGAGAGAGACGACTGACGAAAAATAAGTTATTTTTTATTGATTTGTAATTTGACGCCAGTAATTTTTAAATAAATTATATTAATAATTTGACACAATTAATTTTAAAATAAATAATATTTAGTTAAAAAAATTTAAGATTTTGAAATATAATTCTAATTTGAAACAAAAAATCTGATTTCTATTTTAATATTATTTTTTTATTTTGAAAGATATAAATTTAAATTATTAAATTTGTTAAGTAAAATCATTGTTATTAAATATCAATTTATTTCTGTTCGAAATGGCTAAACTATTATTCGACGGAAATTATTGAAAAAATAAATTCCATTATTTTATTAAATAATCTCATAAGATATAAAAATAAATATAATATCGTATACATCCCTCAACTAATTGACAATAGCAGAGACAACCCACATGTTTGTAAAAATTACAAAACCCTCTATAAAATCATTTTATAAGTACAATTTCAATGAATGACTGAATTGTTTCTTCAATGTGTATATAGTTTCTATAACAGCAAGAAAATTACTTTTTAATACATACAAATGACAAAACAAGAAAATCCTGTAGAAACTATTGATTGATGATCCATTTATTCTCTAAATGATAATCCTTTTACAGCGGCTTTATTCGTGTTAGTGCATTATGTCGACCTACACAACACCAGCCGTACACTTTCTGTTGAGAATCCCCCCTGCCCCCTAGTAGTCGACCCTTGTTCCCTTTCATCCGGAGCTGCCATATCTTGGGATCGTCATGCTACACTTGCAGGGAAGGAAAAGACGAGCAATTTACGCTATAGTAGCTACCTTTTTACTGGCTCTAGTATTCACTGGTGCATTCTCCTCAAACGAGTACTCCTGTTGTATTACAGCTATTTGCTACCTCCTTACGCATTCTCGAGGTACACCAAAATCCTTTTTGGGAAAGACAACTTCTCGTCTCCAAGGATCGTTATGTAACTTGTAGTGCAAAACCTTGTCAAACAATCAAAAATCAGTTCAACTCTTATCTGATTAAAGGGTTTAGTTTTTGAAATATATATAGCAGCAAACGTGTCGTTTGAGCCCTTACATTACGAAGGAATGTAAGTAGAAATATAATGCACTTTGTGTATAGGTTTCAATTCACAACCTCAAATAAGCTATAATTTCACCTAGGATTCATTAGCTCTTCGACTACTCAAAATAATTGAAAGGCAGCTCATTTAAAAGCTTAAACTACATAACTTGATCCATCGGGGAGGAACTTATTTATTGCATCTTCAATGAATAATAGCCTCAGTTGTTAATACAAGTACATAATCATGAAAACTGCATGTCATGTTTCCTTTAAGATAGAATGAACTGTAAAAATTGCTTGCAAGAAATTTCCTAGTGTAGATTTTACCTGTGTGAGTGTGGCAAAGACATCATCTTCACTTAGTTCTGAGAACTTCCGAGCCCAGTCCTCAACAAATCCAAGTGTAGCATTTTGCCTCTCGGCTTCAAGCAAAACAGAATCACGATACAAGAATCTCTGCCAAATCTTCCTCACATTTGCCAACTTGAATTCCACCTCTGTCTCGTTAAATCTCTACACAAGTTAAACACAATGTATGTCGAAATCGGCAAGCTTTAAAGATAAATTTCCAGAAAGTATGATGTAAGTTCCATATTCAAACAGAAGACTGTTAAGTAAATACCCGCAGAATGTTTATTAAATTTGGAATTTCATCTTCATGAATTCTAACAGCAAAGCTTTCATAGTTGAAAACATTCTCATATGGCAAGTAGATCCCATCCTGGAAGATTGAAAACTTGTATTTAATTATAAGCAATTAAATTGGACGAATAAAATTACATTCAAATTAAGATAATCCATACAACAGCAACAACTCAAAGAAACTTGTAGCTATAAAATGGTGGTATACGTCCCAAAAACCACAACTAAATATTTAAGTGTATGCCTCAACCCACAAGTTGAAAGTTATCTGGCAAACCATGAGTTGACAAGTAGAATACGGCTTGCACTGAGTTTATGATATATACACTTTTCTAGTAAGAGATCATTTGGTAAAACTTAAAAGGTTCACTTATAAGTAAATAAGTTTCAAAATAAGATTTTTCTTTATTGATCAAAATTAGAAATGAGTATGTTAATTTTAAGAGTACAATAGGAGTTACTTTTAGAACAAGTTTATTATTTGAAAGTAATTTATCCAAACATGTTTGGAAACAAAAGGCTAGGTAACTTTTACTTATTTTAAGCTGAGCCAAAATTGCACTTCTACAAAGAATAAGTTGCCGAGTAGGGGACCTGAATGACCACAGGGATGCAGCCCTGCAGAATGCTATCTTCCATTCGGCCGCTCCATCCATCTCCAGGCATAACCCCACAGAAAACAGAACTTGCCAATTCCTCATAATAATGATCAGTACGTAGTGGAGTTACAACCACATCTTCTGCATGTTGTTTCCCAAGCTTTCCTTCCTTGTTAGGACTTGAACCAAACTCTTCAGCAACTTTCTGCCTTATGCCCATGCTATACCTGAATATCATCACCACCTAGCCAATCAAATTTCGTATGTAACCCAAATGAAGTTTTGAGACCATTTGGCAAACTGGATATTCCTGCCTAAAAATGCATGCTACCTCCAACATCATATCAGATAATTTTGCAGCACATATTACAATATCAGTGAGTTCAATTAACTTACGTTGCTTCAGGTCTTCCATGTTCATATGCCGGACCAAGATTTCCGTTAAAATAGAATAGTGTCTTCCGCTCCTCGAGAGGCCTGCACAAATAATATCCTTTGACTATAATCCTTTAAAGGTAAATGAAAAAAAGAATGAACTATACGATCACCGGATCACAGCAGTACAAGTAGGACTCAATGACTCGATCCATTAATGCATAATGAATTAATGATTGATCCAGGTACCTGGCCCAAAGTTTAGCATTCAGGGAACCTTCATCAGGCCGCTTCCAAGCAGGAAGTACAAGGTCTTTATGCGGATCAAAGCACGGATGGTTCCCTCTTCTTTGAGAAGAAATCTGATTCCAGCTATCAGCCCAATATGCTGTCGTTGAATAGTTGTACTTTGAATTTGTATTGCCCCAGTGGACTAACATCATACTGTTCCATATTTCCTTAGGTGCACAGCAAGCACCTTCATCCCATGAAAAGGACTGGCTTGAGAGAAATAGACACCATCATTAGTTTGGAGATAAAGATTTACATTTCATGTACAAGAGAGAGATTCTGCAGTTCTTCACACAAAATATCAGCAGTATTGTATTGAATAGTGGCATGGCATCATACCCAGATGTGATCTCTTCCAGATGAGCGGTTCCAGTAAGGATATTGCACCATTATGTGATCATACGCTTTATTGTAGAATTCTAGAGCTAGTGAACTCCTTAACCCCTTGTGATCCTGGAATTTGATGGAAAACATTAGGGACGACGTAAAATTCGTAATCCTAAAGCAGGCAGCATATTCTATTAACAGAATAATATAGAATGTTCATAGATCATAATTAAAAAGAAATAGGTGGTATAAAATCTCCATATCCTATTGCTTACTTATAATGGTGTATTTACCTTCATGCTCAAGTGTGGAGCATCATCAGCACGAACTATAATACATGAATCAAGCACTGGAACAAAGAAGTAATCTGCTTCTTCACCATTTAATGTTCTATAAGGGCTCGCTAATATACTTTCATAGATTGCCATCTGCCACAACGGAGCCGTTAGGTCGGTATTATGCGCTTAACCATAGTAATTTTATTCAGTAGTATCGCCTAGATCCAATGATACCTGTGCACCATACAGCTGATCGGTCCATATTGTGGCATTCCTGTGATCATAGATTCTGTTTACACACTCCAACTTGAAGTGTCGTCCCTGCAATGACAAGAAAGTCAATAGAAATAATGAATGTTCTCTATCCAGATAGAGAAGGCACAAAAGGGATTCTTACCTCCAGGAGAAGACTATTGAAGTCAGGAGGCAAATCATAAACATATATAAGGGGTCTTTTCTTTTCAACTACAGCATTAAGATTGAAAAGATTTCTCGAGGTTTGTGAACTAACTGGAACATTAATACGTGCAGGTCGAAGCCACCTGGGCCACTCTCTAATGAATGATAAAGCAGATGGAACACTGCAATCCACTCCATACCAGCCGTGTCTACACTGCATATATACAGTTAATTTGTGCATTTATCAAAATAGTATCATCCCATAATCAATTGAAAACCCTCCAGGCATAATATTTAATAGATGATTTATTATTAGTAGAAACTATATAATAAAAAAAAAATTACATATATAAGAACACGTACAAATACGTCCACACACCTACATACATATTAAAGCATATTATAACAAAATGTTTGAAGCCCTATCTCTTCACTCAATAGTCAAAGCTTCCTTACAATGAGACAACAATGTGAATCAACCAAAGAAAATCATGTAGAATGTGATGTTTAATTCTACCTGACAAAAACCACCACGGCACTGTCCATTGCCAGAACATTGATTTATGCAAACACTTTCTACTGGTGTTTCACAGAATCGACCCCAAAGACCATCATACTTGCAATCGCATTCCTCTTTAAAATGCACCCTGGAAGCATAGGCTTCAGCAGGATCCACGTTACACCATCCTCGTATACTAACATTGGTAGTGAAAATATCAAGATCAGGTTTTGTCCAATCGGTCGGAGATGGAGCACCAGGTTGAGTAGGCAAGCTATACCAATACAAAAGAACTTATTACTAATGCCCTGTCATCAATCAAATAATAATAGCAGTATGCATTATAAATTTATATGTGCTTACTTTAGTCTAAACCCACATCCCTCAGCAACGGGACGATTAGGGTATTTTGTACCTTTTCCACAAAAGCACATGGCTCTGGTAGTGTCACAGTGAGCCGAGCAAACAGACAC